CTGTGGAGACAAAGATGGCAGAATAGGATGGATCAAATCGGTTTGCTATTACTTATTTTCAGAAATTGCACTTAAAATGCTGATCCCAGGATGGAAATTAGTTTGAGGTTTGTTTTGTTTTTTTACTGACAATTTATTGTTTGAAATAAATTACATACCTGCTTGCGTGACCATTCCACTTTTGATATATCACTGTTCTTTTCATCTGTTTAAAATATATAATACATTAACATATTATTTAATTTCACACAGTATCACAATTCAGTGGTCAGATAAAATTCCTAATTTTCAAGCAATCCTTTAGTAAAAATGACTAAAAATGTCAATTTAAGTGTGCATGTTTGGATATATGTTGTTTGTTGTCATATATCATATATAATTAAATTGCTATAAATGGAGAATTCGAGAGAAGTTTGGTAATAAAACTTATTGATATGTAATGTATTGCAACATGTATATTTCAATAGATTTAGCAAAATATGAAAGATATAATACAAAAATGTAAAGATCTTACAAAAATGTTTGTATAAGTAAGGTGAGATTCAATAAGAGTTTTTTAAATTGGGTTACCTGCAAGAGTGATTATAATATGAAAAAGTTATCTAGCATTAAACAATTATATATTGCTATAAAGACATCAGTCTTTGTTAAAACTAAATTTTGTCTTTCTGAGTGCATAAAGCCGGGCAGCGTACCTGCGCAGTGTGTACAGGTCATTTTACATCTTATACAAATGAGGGCAACGTTCAGAATAATGCTGCAAGATAAAACTATCAGCAAGCCAGAGTGAAGAGGATCCAGCAGGTTCTTATAGCCTAAAACAAAGAAATAGATTTCAGCATAATGATATAAAAACACATATCCTCTTTGGTTAGGTCACATTAGTTAAAGTTAAACTCTAAAGTAGTTTTTTTTGTGAGTAGTCCATTTTTAACACACATTTTTGATATTTTGCATTTTATCGTTTATTATTATGTAATGCTTTCAATAACACAAGGCAACAAAAAAAAAAAATTGTTTTGTTCCTGGCAAGACAATGTTCTTTTCGTGTTGTTTGGGTCAAAAGCAACTAGTAACAATCATCCATTGAGTCAAAACATTGGTTTTGTCACTTCTGTCCAACATTTTGTATACAGTCATGGCCATAAGTTTAGCATCACTGCAGCAAAACCTTGTTTGAGTCACTGCTAATAATTCTGTCGTTCAATGGCATTAAGTTATGGTGCCAAGCTGTTGTATATATAAAGTCTAAACATACACCAATGTAATTGCTGTAACATCAGTCGGAAATATCGCTAGATGTCGTTGACATGGCTACCTAGAAGAATTCTTTCCCAAGCTGTCAGGCTAAAGTAAAAGCTGGTATCTTTGTTGGACCACAGATAAAGAAAATCATGGAGTGTCAGCAATTTCCCAGCACTCTCACAGAGGTCCAAAAGGCAGCTTGGAGCAGCTACATCGCAGTAGTACAGGAATTCCTCGGAAATCATAAGGCTGAGAATTATGTGGATCTGGTAGAGACACTAGTAAGGAACTATCAGGCTATGGGGTGTAGGATGTCACTAAAGGTGCACATCCTGGATGCTCATCTACAAAATTTTAAGGAGAACATGAGAGCATACTCAGAAGAATAAGGAGAAAGATTCCACCAAGATCTCAAGGAATTCGAGCGTCGATACCAAGGACAATACAATGAGAATATGATGGGGGACTACATCTGGGGTCTTGTTCGTGACACTAACTTAGTTTACAATCGTCAGTCTAAAAGGACATGTAATTTTTAAGTTTAATTGGACTATATGGACACAAGTCAGAAGATTTTGTAAAGGCTGTTAATGTTATCTAATGCGTGTTCTGAACTATTGATGTCCTGACCACAAAATCAAAGTTATTTTGAAATGAAAGTTATTTTTTATTTGGATATATAAGCTAACAGGAACTAATAGTTATTTCACAGACACAAAAACTGTGTTACATGGTGTAATAATTAAATTGCCATTTGTGTAATTAAGTGCATATGCACTTAAATTATTAATTACATTCCATTAAAAAAGCAAAATAAATAAGTTCATGTCTTAATAGCAATAAAAGCACAACAGAAGCAGATAAACTCCCCAAACTAGGTGTTACCGTCTATATCCAGCTGTGTGCCGTTCCCAAACAGCATCTCCCCACACATGGCCACAGCGCAGTAGTAAGTCCCAGCATCAGAGAGGCTGAGGTTCCTCTTGGGGAGGCTGTAGACACAGCTCTGTGTAGGAGATCCAGCCTCAGGGCTCTTCTCACACTCATCACTGCTGTTTCTGTGGCTGTAAATGACTCCTGGAAGGGATTCTCCTGATCCATGTCTGAACCAGTAAATACTGTGTTCTCCTGCACAGCTCCCAGCCTCTATAGTACACTGCAGGTCCACAGAGTCTCCTGGCTGCACTGTGTCAGACACAGGCTGCTGTACCACAGTCCTGCTGTTGGAGTCTTTATCTGAAAAGCAAAATGTCCATGATGTCAACCCTTCAAGACAAAAAATGGAAAATACAGATCCTCAAAGGTTTTTCCTCAAAGGTGTTTCTTACAAATTTTGGAGAGGTTTGGGAACTGAAGTGGTGTTCTTCTAGCCATCCAAGAAATACGCAAATTCTTGGAGAGCAGTTGAAATTCTTGTCTCTTTATATTGTATTAATGTTTATTAGTATATATTCGGTAATGCTTTACATTAACTACACACATAATACCTTTATAATGCATTCATAAAACATTCATGAGCTGCATGAGAGTATACCTTAATATCCCAACATACTTTAACAGCTTTAATATACATTAATAACAAAAATTATAACAAACATTATAATCATGTAATGTTTTTCATTAATGTATGAAGGTAGATGAATTTAATTAAAATAATTAAATTAATTTAATTAATTAGTCAATGAAGTGTGTAAAGTGTACTTTATGTTTTCATGATTTTCGTGACTGTCAATTTACATTTGGTTTATGTTGCGCCTTTTCCACAGGAAGGTACTTATTGTTTTTGTATATTTATCTGTTGATATGTATTAGTATTTTTGAGGATGCTGTTGTAGTACCTGCATGATTTGACTTTACTTGTTACTGTTTGCTGATTAATAGTTTGTCTATTTTTTTTAATATTAATGAAAACGTATACACAGCAAAAGGAATTTCGCATAGTTGCTTCTATTTTCTTAGGTGTAGAAAAGTATGTTTTTCCTTTCAACCATAGCAAAAAGCAAAACGTCATGGCAAATGCAATTATGCTTTATTCCAATACACATCGCTAATTTTTCAATATTGTTACATTTAATCAGCATAAAATCTTCAAAGGTTTCATGATTTAATTTACAATGTTCTGGCCTGAAATCTTTTCCTGCTACACTGAAGACTCTCTCAGTTTGTGCAGAGGAAGCTGCAGCCAAAGGGTTGGCATCCTCTGATAAACATGGTTGGCTCAGGTAACAGTGACATTATGTGAAGCTTTCATGACATTATTCCATTCTGAATAAGATGACATTTTTATAACAATGATACATAACAATGTTAATGTGTTTATGTAATTTGTATTTAAAAAATAAAATGTATAGTTAAAAGCTACACCTACAGTATGTATATGAATTTATTTGAATAAATTCAAAAATGAATTGTAATTCTGCATCCTGTTTTCAACAGCAATTCAACTCAAATCAGTTCTGAATGGTGCACATCCCTTACTCTTACAGTATGTTATAACATGTTTCTTTCTGGGCCAATATACACTGACTGCTCAGTTAAATAACTTTAAGAATATATTTTGTTTGTCGCCCAAGACTTTTGCACAGTAAGATATAACACAGTTCAACTGTCAAAAATGTTTGACAGGGGACAATTTTACTGACACTATAAAAAAAACAAATATGAAAATACTTGTATAAAACAGGTTTCATTTACCTGTGAGTATGACAAAGGTTCCATTTCCAAATGAGATTTCAGCATAGAACCAGGCAATACAATAATAAATTGCAGAATCTGACGGCTCCGCGTTGGAAATAGAGATGTTAAAACTCCCCTTTGCATCCTGCAAAGAATAACGTTTTATGCTTTTAAATTCACTGTAAAGTTCACCAGGTGAGTAGCCATTTCTTTTTGCCATGAGTTGGGGCTTCTGACCAACAGCTTGCTTAAACCAAGCAGCATATGAAGCATCTTCTGAGTAGAAGCATGTGAGGGTCACACTGTCTCCAAGCTGAACCCTCATCAGGAGACTGGGCTGAACAACATCCACAGCCAGTGCAGTGTCTGGAAAAACAGAAATACACAAATAAATGTGACATATCATAATTGCAAGCAAAATTACTATTAAGTATTATGACAATAAAATGCCGAAGTACTTATTACACTGATGTGTTTATACACATCATACAGGATCTATGAAAATATAAAAAAAATTTAAAAGAGAATTTTACACTTTAGGACCTTACTAATTAAAATGAGAAGACCAAAGAGTCTGAACATCTTTGTGGTTCCACTTGTTTAGAATAAACTGCTCTGCTGCTAAGTGAGAGGTCATGGTCGTGGTTGGGATGAAAGGGCAGGAAACAGAGAGGTACAAGATACACATCAGGCTGATCTGATTGGCTGTTCACATGGGAATTTAAGTAATAGTGAAAAGGCATTCTAACCTACACTTACATACATACAGTATAGAGACACACCTCTCAACCATTGAAATCGGGTGTTTCATTCAAACCCATTGCCAGTGATGTATAAAGTCAATCACCTAGCCATGCAGTCATGCTTAAAACATTTGTGAAAGGGTAGGTTGTTCTGAGGAGCACAGTGAATTTAATTGTTACCAGCAAATTCTGGAAGCAAACATCACACCATCTGTAAAAAAGCTGAAGCTGAAAAGAGGATGGCTTCTA